ATTTTCCTCCTAGAAATGAAAATGTTAATCACCACATATATTGTTTTATGAACAGTTAAAGCAAGAACTTCTCGGCCGACCTTGTGATGTAGCTTTGAGTACAGCTTAGATAAAAAGATTTGCATCTCATGAACTTTAGTACATTTGGAATCGGAAGCCCAAGGAAGGAAGGGAGAGAAGATGTGAGGAGATAAAAAAATTAAAAGAACAATCAGTTTCGCAAAAAATGTCAAGAAAAACTTCTAAGTACTTTTCTCACAAAATACGAGTAAACACCAGCAAAATACCAGTCTTTTTCATAAAATGGTAATAAAAAGCCACGGTGGATTTCAATGAATTCTGGAATTTTGGAATAAGTCAGAAGCTGCGCTTAATTATGCATTGATTTCGAGGAAAAGAGTTCTTTTTTTTCATTTGCCTAACAGTTTTTGAACGTTTTTCAATTGCACCTCATGCAAACAGAGAAAAGAAAGGGAAAGTAGCGGCTCTTCAAAAAACCAAAGGATATTTACTTCAAAATTTCCATTAGCTTTCACGGACATACTGTGGTGAATGCAACTTTCTTCGCTAACGCCAAGCGCTAGTATTGGCAATTTTATCATCAATTATGTTTAATGCGCATGCAGGCTGATAGCTGGATGTCGCGGATCCAAGATGCGAAGCCGGAGAAGTGGGATGATCTAAGCCGAATCAACCATGCCAAGTATCAACAGTCGCTGCGGAGCATGCTCTGTAAGTCGCACCATTCCGCTGTATCAGCGCAGCGCGACCAACAATACAGTGCTTTATTACAACTTTTGCTTCAGAGATGACTTCATACGTACCACTAGAAAGGCGTGGCCAAACTGAAAGATTGTGGCCACTGCTTTCTCTAAAAAGACTGTAGTCACTGCTTTTTTATGCATCTTTACGGTGCAGCGCTGTTGCGCTTCAACAATCAGAATAAACGGCAACGCGCACCAGACTAGCCGGTGCGATCATGCGTTTTGTGCAGTTCAGCCCATCGAACGATTG